GTTATAATTGGGGTGACCAATCCATTCTTTACAAAAGCGTTGCAACATTGGCCCAACATAATTAGAGTTGGAGTTGGGAAACCACGAACAAGGTATTTTACCGATGTTTTTCGTCTAAGAAAAAAAAAAGGTTTTTCATTTTAGCATTATCATAACTTGTACACACAGAAAAACCTATGAAAATTCGTGGAGGGGACTTCACGCCTCGACGTTGGATGTCGTGCAGGTTAGATAGATGACACATTTTTCTGGTGCATAGGTTGAATTCAAGTAGTTATAATAAATGCTGACCATCTTTTTAGGGTGTCACGAGCAAACGTAAGTCCGTAATTGCCAAAGATAAGGCAATACTGAAGAAGTTGGCTGAAGCAATAGCACGCGGCTATCCACCAGGTAAATCTTGAATCTATGGTCAGTTTATTCAGTATTGAGAATTAATTACATGGTTACGCATTTGGTTCTGTTTATTTAGATTATCTATTGAATAACATATTAAGGCGATACTTTGTGGATCTTACTGAAAAGTTTTTGGTTCCACTCAACCGTTATTTTTCGACGTTGATTCCGTTTCACATGTATGTGTCTTAGAACACTTGTTGCTGAGGAAAATTCCATTAACGCGTGTTAACCATGTACATCAATTTTTTTAGAACCCTTTCCTCACAAGAATCGCCACAACTAAAACCATTCAAAACAGACAGCTTTTTAAAATCTTTACAGGAGCATGGTAATTTTCATAACATCTATTCTGGTTTCATAATGGGTAACGTTGATTATCTGACGGTATTTTCATTCTTGAAAAAGGTCCGCAGATCCCGTTTAAAGCAAAAAATTTTCCAACAAATACCACCAACACATACGTTAATTTCTACACGCAATTTCTGAAATGTGGAAATTTTGCAACGTGGCTCCGTCAACGGACGATCGAGGCACAGAATGAATTGCGTAAACGATACCTGCAAGTACTCTGCGAAGATGATGTACAGAAATGGATTATTGGAAAGCACGAGATGGAGTTGGTGGACTTGTTGGTTAGGATCAGGGATGAATTGGTGTGTGATGCATCTTCTTAAAAACTTTGGCAGGTCGGTCATATATGACGATTCTGATAACAATGTATTGTCTTTTTTTTTTCAGAAATTATCGAGTCAACAAGATTCCGCATCATCGCAATTGTTGCCACCAACAGCTGTTCGGGATAACGATGGTGGGTCATCGTCGACGCTGACAGCAAAACAACGGGAAAAACTACGATTGCAAGCGAGCATAATAATATCGGGACTTCCACGAGATTTAAGGGAATCATTCACCGCAGATATATAAATAGAATTTTGCTATGTCTTGTGTGAAATTTGATTTCATACCTGATGGACTTTTCCTTTAATGAAAAATTAGATGTCCATTGTTAATGGATTTTCATCGAACAATGGTTTTTTTTTCTGTCTCATCGGAAATTTATAAAATTTAAGGGAATCACGAGAATCACGAGAATAGTTTAGTGACCCAACTTTCGTTGAGAAGATTTCTTGATCACAAAGAAACTGTTATTTTACTTGTATAACTCCTTTGTTTTTTTCGAGATTCACATGTACCATTAATACTCATCATAGTCAGTAGTAACTAATTAAATAAAAATCGCGCATCCATAGAAAACCAAAGTTACAACCTTCCCATCATGGGATAAAAAGGTGCGCGATATAGATTTTTATTTATTCTTTTTTCTTGGAAGGTGTTGGATTATATCATACAACATGACAGAATCATATTCGAAATGACATTCTTTCGATGCATTGGGTTATTGTAAAAAAATTTGGTGAACACATTGTGCAATCTATCATTTAATTAATGCACACGCCCAGAAGTCAACCTTATTAAAGAAAACTTGAATGTGATCAAGTATTCTCCCGTGATAATGAGGGCTTAGCCAGATTACAAAAAAAAAGGCGTAACAGCTTTTTTTTTTTTTGGGTGAGAATGATTTGTTTATTGTTTATGTGAGAGTCGACAAGACAACCAAGCGTAACAACTCGTTGACTCCCCCAAAGTGATTATAGTAAGAATCTTAATTCATGATCCATTCTATTACTGTAATCCTTTGATATTCGTCATTATCTATCGTTTTTCTATATGGACATAGGGTAAATCGTTTTTGAACCATAAAAAATCCATCGGCATATTATAAAACTGAACATAGATCAAATTCGGTTTTCGGTCATTTAATTTAGTCTCGATGGAGAAATCACAGAAAAACACTGGAAATTGGGCGAGTGAAAACAAATTCATTCAGTTTGTGGTGAGGGTCGGCAATTTTTTACCGGTGGCATTTATCGTGTTGCTTGTGACGTGGTCATATTATGCTTTCGTGGTGAGATTATGTATATTTCACTTGTTCAACGAAAATTATACTCAAGGTATATATGTTTTGCACTTATAAATCTTTAACTTTCTCGATTGTGAATTCCTTTATTATTATCACCGATCAACTTTTATTTTATACAGGAGTAATATATTTGGTCATCTATCATCCATTATTAATAATGATGATGTGGTGTTATCTTGTTGCTACCTTCACTTCTCCGGGATATCCTAACGATGTAAGAATCTATTTATCTAAATCAATGAATTGCCAATCACATTAACGACCTTTATAATATACGTGTATACGATTATATGATTCATTCCATAGCCGATATCACCAAAATCTTCTCGGTTACCTACCCTTCCGGGAACTACAATCTCATCCCAACATCACCCATCTGAAACTCATAATAGTCCTGATGTGAAAAACTCTCTTCTGTCGACAAAACCTGGTTCTTCCAAACAGAAATCTAGTATCATCTTGGATGAAAGCGGGAATCCGGTTTCGTTAGGGGCGATTATGGTAAAACAGAGTGGTGAGAAAAGATATTGCCAGAAATGCCAGTATGATAAGCCAGATAGAACACATCATTGCAGAGTGTGCAAAAGGTCGGTATGGTGAGGAGCAAGGCGATTTTGAAAATGTGTTTTTAACTCTTTTTGCTCTCGCTAGGTGTATTCTGAAAATGGATCAGTGAGTATTCCAAGTCAATAGGTAAATTCATTGAATTGCTTACTTGCTTATAACACTGACTAATGATATTTGACTTTTTTTATCAAGCCATTGCCCATGGTGCGTTTATTCTCTTTAATCTTTAAGACACTCTTTTTTTGCATCCTTATTCAAGCAAACGACGTACACCTTTTTTATTATTATTAGGTTAAACAATTGCATAGGATTTCGCAATCAGAAATCATTTTATCTATTTGTCATTTGGGGATCACTTTATTCACTATATATCACTATAGCTACCATACTGCCCACAATAAATTACCTACAATATTCTAATGAGGTAGTTGATTCTCCTATCCACTATACACATTCATCGTCAAGACTAATTACCTTTACATCTACATAGGCAACGATAATGAGTCTAGACCTAAACATATCCTTCCTTATACTAATCGGTGGTGTGTTTGCACTAAGTTTACTAGGTTTTGCCGTATATCACACGAGTCTGTTATTTTCCAACCAAACTACGCTGGAAAGCTTGATGACAAAACAAAATTTTAAGATGCGCGAAACTGACGAGGTGACCACCGGAAAACTATTGAATTTATTTGATATTGGCAAGAGGCAAGTGCATGAATTAATCGAAAAGATGGGTTAAAGAAGAATTAGTCAATGAGTTGATTGATGTCGTTTTCTTTTTGCAGGGCAAACTTCCTTCAAGTAATGGGGTCAGCTTGGTATTTATGGTTTTTCCCGGTTGGAGAACCGTATGTGTCGTTTTTTTTATATTTTCAACTTCCTACGTTCTTTTTTTCCGATGTGCTGAATTTCCTTTCTTTACAAAGCATGGGAGATGGTAGAACATGGTTATTGAATACCGCCCGTTACAGCAGTTTAATAAATTCTACAGATAACTTGCCTGGAACACCGCAAACCGTTTGACGCTCACGAATCAAATTCCGGTTCCAGACAATGAATTTTTCTAACCTTCATCTGCGTCAAACGCGCCTTTGTAAAAAAAAATTCATCTTCTATCACTCACTGTAATCATACCAAAGTATTTTACACGCGATACCAAGCGTGATCGAACTCTTAGTAAATTTGTATGCATTCGTGTCAAAGTATTTTCTTTTCCATAAAAATTATTGCATCGTGTTCGAATCGTTGGATTATTTGTGTTTGATACCGTCAGCGATTACACATAAAGAATAAAATACGTTTTTATGCGGTCTGGGAAAAAATTTTACAGAGTGCATCTGTACATGTTTTGCTGTCTCACTCATAGATTAACAGGTTCGCAACACTAGCAAATGATTCTTAAAGAAATTCCTTTAATGCTAAGATATTAATTTGATAAATGGAAAGACATGTTTGTAATGAGTTTTTGAGATACAAGTTAAGTTAATTTAAATATTACAATCCACTGCTATACAATCAATCGGAATCTGGTGCTGCATCAATTAAAAAATTAGTTTTCTTCTAGAAGTCGCTATCGTTGGTTCAATAAAATAGGTTTTTTAAAAAAAAAAGAAAAGAAGGATCCTTTTTGCGTCTACTACAAGTCACAGAAACTACTCCTTAGTTATTCTGACAACTAGATCACCCGGCGATAATGAATCGTTTTCTTTAACCGCCACGTGCTCGACTTTGCCGGCGACCGTCGACGTGACTATGGTTTCCATCTTCATTGCAGAAAGGACGCATATTGGATCTCCTGCCATGACCTCAGCTCCCTCTATTTTCATTCAGCAAAAATTGCAACACAGTTAAAAATCAATTTTTTAATTCACATAAATTTTTTTTTTTTATGAAAAAAAATTCCAACCTTTGGCTCTAACTTCAATAACAACACCGGACATTGGTGCTCCAATTTCTCCGGGTTTGCTAGGATCCGCTTTTTCTCGGTGGACTGTCTCAACAGCTATTGAATTAAAGAGGCAATTTTTTTTCAATTAATAATAAATATACAAATATTTACAAATAAATAAATAATTAATTAATAAGTAGAAACATACCGGCAGTTCTATCATCAACGCCAACAGCCCTTGCTTCACCATTCAGCTCAAAGAATACCTCGCGTTTTCCGGTAGCGACGTTCAACGGTCCAACTGCCAAAAATTTGACGATCAACGTGACTCCCTCCTCCAGATCAATGTTAAACTCTTCTCCAACCTCAGGCTTGCATATGAAGTACCTGGTAGGAATTACCGATACATCTCCAAATTTTTCTATGACATCGCGATATTCGGCAAACACCTTTGGATAAAGGGCAGCAGATATCACATCCACAGTTCGGATTGAGCGTCCATATTTGGCTACTAGGTCAGCCTTTAATTTTGTGAGATCAAACGGCTCCATCGATGCCCCAGGTCGAACGTCAATTCTTGGTAAGTCACGGATGATCTATTTAAGTGTTAGAATTCATCTTAGTATCAAAAATTTGTAGGCTAATACCAAAGAAGAAAAAAAAAAAATCATTTCTCCTACATCTGTACGTAGAGGTTCGGGAAAACCTCCGAATGGTTGACCCAAGTAACCTTGGAAAAATTCGACGACTGACACTGGGAACGACAATGTTTTCGCCTTCTCAATGACCTGGGATTTTTTTTTTGTTAATTAATGAACATCGGCAACAAAATGGCATCGAAATATCAAACCAATAACTCACATCCCCATATGAAAGCTTGTTTGTCACGAGAAATTGTGCAAAGTCTCCCACAACTTTTGAACTAGGGGTAACCTTTACGATGTCTCCGCAAAGTTTATTAGCATCACAATATGCCTTCTTGACCTC